TAAGGGAAGAGAGAGAAAGAAAGAGAGGGACAGAGAGAGACGGAGGTTGGTAGAGGGATAGAACTATAATACTATAATAATCATACACACAAACAATCGTTAACGTGTCTGTGATCGAGAACTCACAAACATACAAATAAAACAACACACCACCCACTAATACACACACAATTTTACCGTCTCTCTAGTCTAATTTAGAACTCACAAACATACAAACAAAACAACACACCACCCACTAATACACACACAATTTTACCGTCTCTCTAGTCTAATCGAGAACTCACAAACATACAAACAAAACAACACACCACCCACTAATACACACACACTTTTACCGTCTCTCTAGTCTAATCAAGAACTCACAAACATACAAACAAAATAACACACCACCCACTAATACACACACACTTGTACCGTCTCTCTAGTCTAATCAAGAACTCACAAAGCCCGGCAAACGTCCATACCGTGACCTAGTCTGGAGCTGGGCGAAAAATCGATTCCAGAACCGATTCCCACGGTTAATACTACGGAAGTAAAGTTCCGTCCCCCTTTTACGTAAACCAACGGTTGTCAAATACTTTTATCATTAAAATCTTCATTTTTAAAAATAATTTGTTTATGAATAATAAAAGTTGATGATTCGTGGTGTTCCAAAAATCAAGGTCATCCTAAATCCTGAAGATGCCCGGAGCCAAAAAAATAGGCACCGGAAAAAACCCACATGATTAGAAAGTAAGTAACTGGGTTCGGAGTCGGTTCCTACTATTCCTAGTCCTAGCTTTTAATAATCGGGAACCTAGCCGCCCACTGTAGAGCTGGGCGACGAATCGATTCCGGAACCGCTTATTACGATTAATGCTACGGAAGAAAAGTATGGCCTCCTTTTTATGAATACCAAAGGGTCTACTTTTTTTTTTTAAATTACATTAATTGAAAAATAAAAGTTGATACTTTGTAGTGTTCCGAAATCAAGGTTATCCTAAATCCTGGAGATGCTCGGAACCAACCAGGTAACCACCGGAAGAAATCATATCATTGGAAAGTAATTAACTGGGTTCGGAGTCCATTCCTACGATTCCTAGCTTTCAACAATCGGGAACCTAGCCGCTCAGCACTACCGCCCAGCACATACCGTCTACCAGTACCCAGACACCGCGCCAGTTACTCTCACTGGTGCTGAGAACGGCTCGTAAATGAACTAACGAGGGCATAACGTACCTCCCAAGGCCACACCTTACACTGCTAATTAACCAGACAGGCAAAAGAAAGACATACATCTTTCTCTCCCCCCCCCTCTCTCTCTCTCTCTCTGTC